TTCGAGCCCAGTGAGCCCAACGCCGACCCGTAGCTCCCTCGGTCTGAACCCACCTACCCACCAAATCCTCCACCAGACCCAGGCCCCGCCTCCGCTCCGCCTCCGCACCCGAGCCCAGGACCGCCCATCGCCGGAAGGACGGCACCTGACGTAGCGCGCTGACGTCACCCACGCCTTCGACGTGGCGCTTCCTCTGGTTTCATTTCCGGTGTGCGGCTCCGGCGGCCAGTGATGGAGGGACAGGTGGGGGCGAGTGGGAGTTGGGAGTTTCCTTCTCGTCACTGCTGAGAGCCGCGCCGGGTTGCCTTTCTGGGTGATCCGGTGTCGGCAGGTGCGTCCCGGCCTCCACGCCCCGGGCCGCCCGCAGTGTCTGGCGCTGCCTCCTTTTGCTGCACAGAAGCGGCAAGTGCCAGCTGACCGCTGCCTGTCCCCTATGCTTGCCGGCAGGTGGGGTTCCGCCTGGATTCCTCACTGAACGGACTTGATTGGAAGAGAATCCATGAAATAAGAAAGTAACTTATTTTTTGAAGTGTTGATTGGAAATAACTTCTTTTAATTAAAAAGGAATCCCAGGAGTCTCTCCAGTTCAACAAAATAGAAGCAAAAACCACAAGTGCTGTACTTGAAGTAAAGCAAAAAAAAAAGTTCACGGCCCTAACAGGTTTGGCTCAGTGGATAGAGCGTCGGCCTGCGGACTGAAGGGTCCCAGGTTTGATTCCAGTCAAGGCCATGTATCTTGGTTGCGGGCACATACCCAGTAGGGGGTGTGCAGGAGGCAGCTGATCGATTTTTCTAACTCTTCCTCTCTGTAAAAAATCAATAAAAATATATATTAAAAAAAGTTTCACGGGAGGAATAAGTCAAGCTAGGGAATTGGGATGTATATACTGAATATAAGAAGAAACTATGGCAAGCTGAATTCAGTAAATACTTATAAGAACTGGCTGCAGCTGGAATTGAACTCAATTTATTACTCAGTTAACTCAGGAATCTGTGTGTATAATTTATAAACCAATTTGCTACATAATATGTTCACTTCCATTTTCTTTTTCATGGTTAGATTCTAACAAATTTAGACGCTTCACAGCCTCAGATAAAATGTAACTAATTACCCTGAAACTAGTTGAAGGAGCGAACTTAATTGAAAAGACTCTGGATTTTATTCAGGTGGATTTTACCACCGTAGCAAGTCCTTTTAACGCATCAAATTCGATTTATTGTGCTTTGCTTTATTGCTAATTGCAGTTATATTGCAATGTTTTTACTAGACCCTCCACCAGCAAAGATATGTCAACTTGATGAAGACTCAGATAATGGTCAGCATTTTTTAGCAATAAAGTATTTTTTAGTTAAGGTAGGCACACTGTTGTTTTTTTTTAAGATATGATACTATTGCACACTTAATATAGTGTAAACATAACTTTTATGTGCACAGGGAAACCAAAAATCTCATGACTTGCTTTATTGCAATATTTGCTTTATTGTGGTGGGCTGGAAACAAACCCATGATACCTCAGAGGTATGCCTCTATTTCATTACCTGTACAGAGAGACATATGATTTATGTCCTCCCAGTGTTATGATTCAAAGACCCTTTCAGCTTTATATATGGGGTAATGTGCTCCAACTCTCTGATACTAAAGGCAAGTTTTAACCTCGTATATAGAGGAAACTGTACTTACGCAAATTAGTTTAACTTTAT